GGCCTGGTTGAAGCGGTGGTCCACGCGGTCGCTGTACACCTGGGGGGGACCCAGCTCGGGGAAGCTGCCCGTGAACTCCACGGCGCGCGTCACGGCGTTGGGGTCGTCCTGGGGAGGGGGAGTGGGGGAAGGGGGGTGCGGCGGCTGGCGGTTGTGGGGGATGAGCGGGCGGGGATCGCAACGGCGCGGCGAGCCAGGCGGTGTGTTTTGAGTGTGGGGGTGGGGTGGAGAGGGAGAATTTGGAGGGCACGGTCCATTGAGGGGGGGAGGAGAGGAGCGATCGAGATGCGCCGTTCAGGATTGTTGTGACACACCCAAACCCTGCCCCTCCTGCACCCGCACGTGTGTGAGCCCCACGGCCGGCGGCTTTGTCCCCCCCCCCCCCCCCCCCCCACCAGGTCGAGTGTTGCGATGAGCTCCCCCGCCAGCAGGGGCTGGCCCTCTGACGCGCTGAAGGCGATGGCCCCGGCCGCGGGGGACAGCAGCGGCATCATCATCTTCATGACCTCAACCTGGGGTGGGGGCGGGGGGCCGGGGCGTGGTTTCGCAGACATGTTGATGAGCGTGGGGTGTCGCAGGCAGCTAAGGTGCAGACGGAGACATGTGAAGACGGCGAGGGGACAAGCAGGGACGCGCGACTGGTAGCCATGGGGTTGCTGTGGGGCGCAATCGGGGGGCGGGGGCTTGACGGCGGGCTGTCGAGGGCAGGCGTCGCGCTCAGGGGTCGCGCCTTGGCTGGCACGAGGCCGCGGCGAGCACGCCGGCCGCCTGCACGCCCCGCGAGGGCCCCTTTGTCGGCGCTGACGCCCGGATGCTTTGCTGGGACGTGCGCACCTCGGCGTATGCCTGGCCCTTGGCCACGTGCTCCCCATTCTTGACCAGCTGGCGCACCAGCTTGCCTGTTCGATGGGGGGGTCACGGGTGCGGCATCAAGCAGGGCGCGGGTGTTCAATACGGAACAGCATTCACAGGGTGGGAGCGACCCAACTGGCCTTGGCAGCCACGGACACAAAAAGCAGGTCTTCACTTTGCAACCACATGCACACACTGGTACGCCACAGGCGCACACGCACACAGACACACACACGAACACGCACACAAAAAAGACACAGGCTAACACATGTGTCAACACGCAAGGGCTCTTGTTCTCCGCCCGCTCTCCCCCCATACATACACACTCGCGCGTCATCGGGTCACGCCCCCCCCCCCTCTCTCACCCGGCGACATGGCTATGAGCTTTGAGGGATCCTGCTCCTTCTCTATGAGGCAGGACAGCGTGTCCATCACCAGCCTTGTACCCAGGGCCTCCTCCTCGGTGTGCATCACGTGGCCCTCCCCGTCAACCTGCGCAGGGGGGGAGCAGGCAGGTGCGCAGGGGCGCGCTCAATCACACAAATACATCAGCGGGACAGAGCAGAGCACGCGCTGGCCTGCAATTGGAGCGCGCCCCCCCTCCCATCGGAGGGGGGGGCGCGGCTTCCTGGGCGTAGGTAGGGGTGAGGGTTTGGGGTCGTGCGGGGGCCGTGGGGCTCAGCGGGGCGTGCGCGGGGGGTGGCGGCCCCACCTGCAGCAGGTACCCTCCGTCGCCCAGCTTGCGCGCCACCACGTCTGTGGTGACGCCGCCGCACACCACGCTGAAGTTGGTCGGGCCCCTGGGGTCGAGTGACAGGAGGGCGGGAGGGGCGCAAGAGGGGTCCGAACAGCCATGAGAGCAGCACAGGTTCGGCGCGCAACGCAGCCGTGCACCTCCCCTACACTGCCGGTGGCCTCTGTTGCCTTCGGGGCCATTGTCACCCCACACACGCGCAAGCCGCAGCTACGCACTTCCTCAATCACCAAAGAAGCGCCCTCGAGAGGTCAGCCGCACGCGGCCGGCCCAACCTCGACCAACCCGCGCGCTGCTGCGCCGCTGCCCCCCCCCCCCCCCCC